GCATAATTCTGATTTAAAAGAAAAGAAAAACCCCAAATGATCACCATTGTCAACAAAAATCATAAAGGAGGTCTGTCAGAAAAATACCTTATCAATTCCCAAGCTTGTCTCCTCCAGCTCCCCATGAACCTCCACAGAACTCCAAAATTGCAAGATAGCATTAGATAGGATTGAAGCTATATTTCTCAGCTTTCTTTCCTGAATCTGTTCCTCAAATCTTAACTGAGAAGTCAAAGCAACTCGATGGCAAATTTGTGCGGCAGCAGTCATCTTCCAAAGGCGCTCCTAGAAGACGAAAAGAAAAGGGTGAGAACAAACAATATAATCTGAGCACCAATGAAAACTGTTCCAGCAACATAAAAATGGACAAGCCCATTTATGCAGAGGAATGTTCACACGCTATTGCCATGTAGATATATAGAATTTAAATCAGAAAGCTGATTCAATTAGACCAAACCTGCGCAAAATCATTTGCTAGCCATGCCATTTCTTCGAGGACAAAATCCCATTGAGATTTCTCGCGGACCTCCACTGGTGCGGTACCACAAGATAACTCGGCAATTCTTTTTCTCTTTGCCTGTTAGTGTAATATGTCATACATAAAAAGATGAGTAGGTATATAACGTCCTTGAAAGCTCGACAGATTAAGATCATCAAGCCCAGTTGAAAAAGAAAACCTGTATAATCCGTGCCTCCTCAAGGATAGAGTCCTCCTTCACAGTATCTGATACTATTAAGCCACCATCTGTGGTAGGCTGATGTTTTAATGCTTCAACGTGAGTTCCTGGCAATACATTATCACCAACTATGCAGGAACTTGTGTCTACAGATGCCTGAGGAATTCCAGGGTGCAAAGAGCTGCTCGGATTGTCAGCTAAAACACTACTAACTTTCCTGTCAATTTCAGGTACAACCAACCCATCTTGAAGGTTTTTCTCAGTGTCAGAACATTTCTCTTCATGTTGCAGCTCAGCTGTACATCTGTAACTTTGATTTTCAGTTTTAACCGAATTCATCTGCATTTCACGCACAGGACTGCGCTCACTAATAATTGCAGTAGATCGATCTGTCTCATCCTCAATCTTAGTTTTCGTCATCTCACCAACTGTTTGATTCAGCAATCCCTCTACTCTTGAAGCCTTCTGCATAGAGATTTCTTCTGAGTCAAGTCTGTCCGCTCGATGAAGATCTCTTTCATTATCTACATCTACTTCTAAGTTGTTAGCATGAGAAGACTCTGAGTCTAACTCTTTTTCCCCTGCAGCTCCTCTATTTGTTAAGCTTTCTTTCTCTCCCATAGAATCTTTTAGGCCATTCAATTGGGTAGAATTGTTATCCTGGCCAGCTATTGTTACCGGTTTGGGAGACTCAACCTCTGTAGTAGTCGAAACTAGTTGTGCCTTCTCAGCATGGACAGTATCTTCAAAAGGCAAATATGCAGAGCTTTTTCTATATGTAATGTCTGCTTCATCTTTCAATAGACTAGTCTTGGATCCAACAGTACTCTCTTGTACAACAGGTCCACCATCCACCGTGGTGTTCAGCGGACTGCTAGGAGCTACATTTTTCGGAACAATATTACCATTTGAATTTGCAAATATTGGACAAGATACGGAAGTTGTATGCCTATCCTTTTGATTGGCTGCTTCGGGAATGCAACCCTTTCCGTCCACTGATCCTCTGCAAATAGAAATAGAGGTTGCAAGACCACCACGATTCTGAACTAGATCCGTAGAACTTGACCTTGCTGGATCCCGATTTATCTTTGATCTGTTCCTACGGGCATACGGGCGAAAGATGGCAGAATCTTCTGTTTCTTTGGTACTCTGGTTGGTATTCGCTTTGGAAGACCGTTCTGACTCAGACGTTCTGTTTTGCCTATTAGGATATCTCAAATTTCTTTCTCCTTCAACTGACTTGCTTTCAGAATCAAACAGTAAAAGGTTATCTGCGGTATTGGGTTCAGAAATTGTAGGAACTCTGGGTCTACCACTACTCTCCACAGAGTCTCCATGGGGCGAGGCAGTCAGGGCAAAACTATCCTTGACTTCACTGTGGGGGTTATGGGTTAAGAATGATGAGTTAATCCATCAAATCTAATGTGAAACTACAGCAAACACGAATGTACCTGTTTACAAAATGCTCTGCTTGCTGATCTGTGAGTGATGTAGATTGGATGCTACGTGAAGTTGCAACACCAAACTTGAAATCCAAGGGATTACCACCCTGAAGCAGATAGAATAGTAAAGGCTTGTTATAATAAGTTTTACAAAAGAAAGAGAACAACGAAATAGGTATTCATACTTTCTCCAAAAACTCCAATTCTCTCCTCCTTTCCTCACGAACATCATACTCTTGCCTGTTGAAACAAGCATCTTTGTTAGACACTGGAAGTGATTGGTAGCTGTAGAAAATGTAGATCACTTAAACAGATCGCAGAAGATGAATTAGTCTCAATCTGAAATACCTTAGCTCCGCTTGAGCCTTCTCAATTGCTGTTCGGCGTGGAGATGTTTTGATACCAATACCACCTCCACTATCGACAACTCCTCCCATGGAATCAACCTCAGCATTTACTAGAAGATCTCCTGAAACGCTTCCATGCATCACCAACTTGGATGTCCCATTGATTCGAATTCTAACTTAACTGGAAAAGATATTAAGAAGCTTTCAGTATTTACAGCATTCTGAATGACCATACTGTAGAAGTTAGAATCAGCAACGGATAAATGTTGACCCGGAAATAACAACGGTAAGCGTATGTGCACGTGTGTTCTCATGATGCAAATAGCAGAGAATATACACATAATGTTCCACAGAAAGTCATGGCAGTACCATATGACTACAAATTATACAGGAGCTAAGCAGATTTTAAGGTATAATTGCTCAGCAAATGTCAGGAGTAAAACAAAAATCAGTCATATGCTCGAGCCACTACCTAAAGAAAGATCTAAGTGAAGATAACTCCGCTTCCATTCTGATCCTCTAGAAGATTAGATGCAGAGAAGCAGCATAACATAACAAGAGCTAGAACTACGCATTCCAGCGTAACAACTATCATATACGCCCGCTAAATTTAAACTCAGTGGTAGATAAGACACTAAGATAGCAAAGCAATGAAATGTTGCCTAAAGAATGAGAGGTTCTCGAAGCTTAAGTAACAAAAAAAAAATCCAAGACTAACAGAATTGAAAATGATCAGCTAAGCTACTTAATGGCGTGCCCACGAACTCTCCCATCAAGTATTGCACATTTAAATGCTTAACGAGCAGAAAAGACGAATTACAGAGAGGAAATTTCAGAACTCAATTCACATTCCTAATCAGAATAGCAGAATGAGAAGCACTTGCACCTATCAACCCTCCAAAGACTCAGCCCAAAAAATACCCGAAACGTTCTAAAAATCACACAACCTCCAGCAAAGCTGGACTCTAGGGTTCC